TGACGACGATGACGATGCGATCTGTCGGGACGCGACGGGCGACGGCGGTGCGGTGGACGCGCGGGGGACGGCGAGGGACGCGCGCGCGCGGGGCGGCGACGGAGGCGGCGACGGGGACGGACGCGGAAACCGCGCGGGCGAGGGTGGAGACGGTGAAGGCGGTGGTGAAACCGCGGGGTGGGTTGAGAAAGGAGTTCGCGGACGAGAGATCGCTGGCGACGCCGCGCGAGGATAGTAAGGTGCGAGAGTTTTGGTTTCCGGTTATGTTTGAGAGCAAGTTTAAGGAGAATGACGACGAATTCGAGTTCAATTTGCTCGATGAGATGTGGGTGCTGCGGAAATTGACGGGATCGGAGTACGTGTGCGAGAGTAAGAAGAGTCGGAGAACCTTATCCACGGGCGTGAAAGACGGTCTCGTCATGGTGTGGCCGGGCACGTGCGAGGCGCCGACGGAGCAACTACCGTCTCACTTTGCGCCGCCGAGCGGGTACACGATTCACGCCGAACTGATCATCGATGACGTCCCGGTCGAGCACGGGTTGCTCATGGAGAATTTGCTCGATCTCGCGCACGCTCCGTTTACGCACACCGGTACGTTCGCCAAGGGTTGGGGTGTGCCGAACATGGTGAAGTTTGCTTCTAGTAAACTGCGCAAGTCGGGCGACGGGTGGCACGATATGGGAAATTTCTTGGCGAACGGTAAAAGCGAGGGAAGCTGGAAGCCGTATCCGATCGATATGAAGTTTTTGGCGCCGTGTATGGTGGACAGTCACATCGGTTTGGCGCAAGCTGGCGCCGTCGGTAGCGGCGCGCAGTTCAAGGAGGGCGTCACCGCGGACGAGTGTCCGAAGCACTTGCACCAACTCCACGTGTGCTTGCCCTCCGCACCCGGGCGCACGCGTCTACTTTACCGCATGTCACTTGATTTTGCGAACTGGGCGCAGTACATCCCGGGTATCGAGATGATTTGGACGGAGATGGCGAACCAAGTCCTCGGCGAAGACTTGCGTCTCGTCGTCGGTCAGCAAGATCGCATGCAGCGAGGCGGTCGAGTCTGGGCTCACCCCGTGGCGTACGACAAGCTCGGTTTACATTATCGTCGCTGGCGCAACGTCATGGAGGGCCGCGACGTCGAAGAGTGCGAGGTGGAGATGTCTTGAGCTCTCGCTCGCCAGCCACTCGCCGCGACGCGTCGTCGGAATTAATACTTTTAGCCCAGAGACGACGCGATGACTCGACGACGCACGTAAATTTAACTCACAACGAGCCGTGTAACTTGATACCTTTTGATTTCGTCCACCTCGAGGTCTGCGGCGCTCGTCATTCGTCTCATCTCACCGCCCGCGGGCCAACCGGTCTGGCTGAAAAATGTCAAGACCCACCCCGCTCCCAACCGTCACACCCGACGCATCGCCCAACCGTCACACCCGAACGCACGATTCTTCGAAATATTCGATGCCGGTCGACCTCCCCGCCGCGAGCATGATCGACTCCAAGCGCGCGTTGCAATTCACCGCGGTCACCGGGGTTTTCTACGCGTCCTTCTTCATCAGTGAACTCCCGAGTGCGTCGGAGCGCGTCGACCAACGACGCGCACCGTTGTTATTTTTCAACAATTGAATCGTCTCTTCAAGATTCTTCGTAATTTTCAGACGGTTTCCACGCGTGGATCTCGATGAGACGCGATGCATCGGGCGCGAAGGAGTACACGGGAGGTGACTGACGCGATCGCGTTTTCTTGCCGATCGCAGCGTACGCGACGCCCATGAAAAAATTTTATGCGCTCGAGCCAACGGCGGTGACAGATTTCTTCAACAACGCGTTCGGCGTCATGTTGATGTGGGCGTGCATGCAGGCGTTTTACGTCGCCGCGAAAGGCAGTGCTGGGCTTAAAAACCGATTCGTCGTCGCGAACATCATCGCCGCGTTCTCCCGGGCGACAGTGCTGGCGTGCCATGGGTCGAAGGATCGCGCCGGCGGCGGGATGGTCGCCTCGGAGCACAAGCTTGGCTCCTTCATTGCCGTACTTACCATGTTTCTTCTCGCCGAAGCCGTGCGCGTCGACAGCAACTTAGTCCCACTCCGACACTGGATCAAGGACTCCAAGTCCCTCAAGCAAAAGATCATCACCATCGCTTTGCTCATGGAGTTTTACTACATGATAATTCTCCACTTCGGCGACGTGACTGTTTGGTTCTCGCCGAAGGTTAAAGCCACGGACTATCTCGCCGTTCACTGGACCGCCACTATCGGATTCATGAAATGGCTTCAGACCATGATCATGTTCACCGCCGCCTCGAACAGCGACGTTCAAACCGTCGCCAAGTTTGACGCCCTGAGCACCCTCACCATGCTCTACGTCATGCGCAAGCACCAAGCCGTGTTCAAGGCGGCCGAGTTCTCCAAGCACTTTACCATGACCGTTGCCCGTCTTGGCATCACCCTCTTCGCCGCCTTCTAAGCGCTTATAAGCTTAACCGTCATTAATAATATTTCTCCGCACCTTGTCTGGCACCAGTCGCGGGCGCGACCGCACTGCGCCTCTCCCAAAATGCCCGACGTCCTCGGCCCGGGCGACGGCGATGCGTACGAACGCGTGCGATCGTTCCACTACGACGGGTTCGTCGTGGATGACCCGGAGATCCTCCCCGAGGCGCTCCACGACGACGTCGCGCGCGCTTTCGATTCGCTCTTGCGCGAGGGTGAGTTCACCCACGACGTTTTATCGGCCGGAAACAAGGTCTCGCGCACGTTCGTCACGCGTACGCTGCTCGGAGATAGAGGGACGACGTACCACTACCAGAAATTGCGACTTTTCGCGCAGCCTTGGGACGGAGAGAAGCGGTGGGAGTACGCGACGGCGCGACGGCTGAACGAGGCGCTGACGCGGAGGACGCGAGAGATTTTAAGAGGGACGCGGCACGGAGAATCGGAGTGCGAGTACAACGTCACGCTGATCAATCGCATGGACACGCGAGAGGAGAGTGAGGTCGCGCTGAAGGACGAGGCGCTGTTCGATTTGGGGACCACGTCTGTGTCTTGGCACAGCGACTCTTCGCTCAGGGAGAATTCCACCGTGGCGGTGTACAGCACGGTGGATGATCCCGAGAGGGCGGACTGGAGCGTGGCCCTTCGAGCTCTGGGGAAGCAGTGTCCCGCGCTTCGCGTGCCGCTGAAGGACAAGGCGACTTATTACATGTGCGGGGATTTCAATGCTACGCACCATCACGCCGTTCTCACCGGTTCGAGTGCGAGATATAGCTCGACTCATCGCGTGGGCGTGGTCGAAAAGGACACATTTCAGTATATTAAGAGGCGGTGTCTCGAAGCGTTGGCTTTGATTCCGGATTTAGAGAACAAGAGCGCGAGTTTAGACGCCAAAAAGATCCAACTATTGGCTGAAATTCATCGCGAGGTTGAATTCCAATGGATCAGGATGTTCCATCTACAGGGAGATACGCACGCTCGTCAGCATAAAACGTACTGGACTCAACGTATTGCGGAGCTGACGGAGGCTTGGGATCGCATGGAGGCGTGCTTCCGCGCCATATTATCCAAGTTGAAGCTCTCGCCCGAATCGACTCCGCAACCGAGCAGGGCTTACTCAATGATGCTGTACGCGATGAAAGAAGTCAAAGAGCTTCGCGACGAGCACGTGAAGAGAATTAGTGCGTCCGCGTACGCAGCACTGCCGGAGTCGCAGCGACCGGTTGATCTTCCGCAATACGACGACACGTCGCCGCTGCCGTTTGAACTTAAACCAGTCATCTATTTTGTAGAAGCCGAGCAGGCAAAGCTCAAGGGCGAATCGTGAAACTATTATTGTTACAACATACAAGCTAGTATTGCAGCTGTATTCGGAAGATACCGTCTCCTCATGAATAATGTGACAAAAATTGGCTTTGGCGCGTCTTCGCACCACGAGCGGTATGTTTATTTCGGCAAAGCGGATCCTGGTTGATGTCCATCTCTTCATCTCACTTATACTCTCTCACGCGGCGCTTCGACTCATGTCTCGTCTCCTCACCATAACAGGACGAGCTCAACTTTCTCGTTGTGACGTCGTCGTCGCTTCCATTTGTCGTCGGACCGCTTCCTCGATCGCTATCCCCAGCCTCAGCTTTGTTCTTCTTGCGCATCGAACGAGTATCACCGTCCGTGTCATCCAGCCCCTCGGTCGACTCCGAGCTGAACTTTTTCCTCTTGAGATTGATTCGATATTTTTGCAAGTGTGAGGCAACGTTCTCGCGAGTCAGTCCTTCGACGTTCATGATTTTCATGATTGACTTTGGCACCGCCGCGTCGACGCCAAGTTTTTCAACCGCCGCGACGAACTGCGCGTGAAGCGCGGGGGTCCAAACGAGCCTAGCTCTCTTCCTCAGTTCGCCCGTCGCGACGCACCCACCGCTCAAGCTGGGCCCGTAGAGACTTTGGAACTTTGCCGGCGCCGGCCCGAGAACCGCCGCCGTCGCCGCCGCCGCCGCCATCTGCACGTACATCAACCGATGCGGCACCGCGAGCGCGTACGTCTTATACGCCTCCGCGTACATCACCGGATGCACCGCCGCCATCGGATGCACCGCCGCCATCGGATGCACCGCCATCACCGGGCGCGCCCCATCCCCGCGCGCCGAACCCGCGTCGCCGCCGCCGCTGCGCGCCGACGACGCGTCCCGCGTCCCCCTCTCGCGACCCCTCCGAGCCCCCAC